TACCTTTTCTTCAACCAAAGGCATCCTCCTACCGTTAAGCGTCAGTTCTTCTCCTCAAAGGTTCTGCTCTTGAGGGGCTCGTTCTCAAGGATTCCGGTCCCCTCCTTGAGCTATTGCTTCTCGAATCACATCTGTCATCTAACCAAAGCATTTGGTCTCTCGGTTCTTTGATTTGTTGCTGCACAAATTCTCCGCTACACTCCATGCTTGTAAAGCATCTCATTATTTGATTTCTTTTCCTTCTTATCTCCATCTTGTTGGAAGTATGATCTACGTTCACCGCACATTTCATAATATTGAATCTGAATGTCCTGTGAATTACACCGAAACAATAGAGCGTACAACATGAGAAAGAGAGTAATAAAGGAGAGGAAGAGAGCGCACAGTAAGAGTTTAGTACCTAAAATGGCGACTGGTTAGCCTTTTACTATAAAATGGCGGTTGATTAGTCTTTTACTATAGAAATGACCCCTATTTATATGCATAGGGGATATACAATGGTAAATTACATGACTGCCACTGTTTTCATAGGGACAGGGTATCTTGGGCATACAAAGAATAGGTTAGCCAAAGGTTTAGCTATCCCTTCATTCGTTTGGCGAGGGTGTGAGACCTATGTGTCGACCAAGATAGACTTTATTGAGTTTGGGCGATTGGTTGGCCCTAGTGATCATTTGGTCGTCTAGATTCCATTTGATCGCCTGACTAACTTTCAGTCGGTTGATAACCCTTCAGTCGACCGACAAACCATTGGACGGCTATGCTGAGTTTTAGTTATCTGATGACCTTCGAGCAGCCTCAGTCGACCGACTATCATGGTTCGACTGTCTACGGTTGAGCCTTGGACAAGAAACTCGTGCTGCAGGAGTAGAGTTAGGCTATCAAGCAGAGGGTGAATTATAATATTCTGATAGGTAGCTTACCCCTTTGACAAGTGATCTGTCTAGAGGACTTGATGACCGTCCATCTACAAGGAATTAGGGCCACCTAAATAGCCTTTAAGACTCCAATGAGGCTTCCGATGGTACCCGGGTGAGGATTGGAATGACCCTTCTCCTCATTTGGATTGGATGCGATCCTTGGCTCGACGGACCTTTGTTCGGTCGATTATGAGTCTTGTTCGAAGAGTTGTAGCTAGTCAACTGGACGATGTAGGTCTCTTGCTAACATGATTATTATCTCTTCTGCTCGGCCATCTTTGACAATACTTTTATCTTATAGTCCGTTGAATTTCTTCAAGACTCATGTCGATGCATTTCTGATGTACAATAATATACATATATACATATATCTACACATAATATGAATACATACATACATACTTATATATAAAAAATAATTATTTTATTATTGTGGCCACATCGTGAAATTATTGCTCAGTTACTGATTAATATAGTTGGTGAATAATATTTCCTAAATTGGGAGAATTTAGAATATTTCTAATTTTTGTTAATTAAAATTTAATTAATATCTCAGTAATTGGCTTGCATTTAAGTTATAAACATTGATCCTAATCACTATAGACTCATAAACCTCACAAAATCAAGTGATCTACAATCGGTGCAGGCCTCAATCCTGATAATGATTTATGGAGGTGTCTTCTAGGCTATAAATATGAAAGGCTAAGTTCGCACAACTACTCTAATCTGTTTTGCACCCATTCCATCACAAGGCAACATATCATAAAGAAGAAAAACTTCTCTCAAACCTTTACAGCAATGAATCAAAAGTACCTCAAACACTTGAAGACTACAATAATAGCAAACCTTTATCCCACTAAGTAGGATCCACATGAATCCTTTTTCTCCCTTGCGTCCAATTGAGTGTCATATTTTCATTTTACTCTAATAGATTAAGATCATTTTTTATATAATATGCCCAAAGTCTTTTTAAGTCAATTTTTGTCTTTCTTAACATAAGTCGAATCTAAAACATCTACTCTCCAAACCGAAGCATCAGAAGTTCGACATTTAATGTGACAAAACCATCTAAGACGACTCCCTCTAATCTTTTTCGTCATTGGAGTTACACCAAACCTATCACGAGTACAGTCATTTGGTATTTTGTCTCTAAGTGTTGAGCCACTCATCCACCGAAGCATTATCATCCCAGCAACACTTACCTTTCTTTTACATTTCTCTTTTAAAGGTCAACATTCTGCACCATAGAGCATTGCAGGTCTCACCATCTTATAAAATTTACTTTGAGTCTAAGCAGTGTTTTTCTATCACATAATAGGCCCGATCAACTCCTCCACTTCAACTAACCAACTTAAATTCTACTAGTAACATCCCCATCTATATCACTATCACTTTGAACAATAGACTTGAGATATCTAAAACGTTCACACGATTTAATGATTTGATCACCGATACTTATAACTTTGCCATTAAAGCTACTACTACAAAAATACATTCCATGCATTCAGTTTTGGTTCTACTCAAACGAAGACTTTTAGACTCCAACGTAGACCTCCATAATTCAAGTTCTTCCTGAACTCTTTCTCTAGTCTTATGATGTCATCAGCAAAAAGCATACACCAAGGTACATCCTCCCTTAGGTAAACAATAAACAAAAAGATATGGCTTCAAACCAATCCCCGAGGTAATCGAATTGAAATAGGAAAATACTTCGTCAATATTCCTTTTGTTCAATGTAGGTAGCATCTCTAATATATAAATAAATATATATATATATATATACTAACTTGAAAATAAGTCGTATTAACACTATTCTTCTCCGGAACTCTCCAAAGAACTTCTCATGGAACCTTATCGTAAGATTTTCTAAATCAATAAAAATCATATGCAGATCCGCCAACATTAAGGTACTTCTCCATCAAACCTCTCAATAAATAAAGCTTCCATAGCAGACCTGCAGAGCACAAAACCAAACTGATTATGAGAAATATTTGTATCACGTCTTAACCTATGTTCAATTACTCTCTCCTATAATTTTAAAGCATGACACATAAACTTAATTTCTCTATAATTTAGATAACCTTGTGCATTCCCTTTAATCATAAAAATTGGGATCAAAATACTCTTCCTCCACTCCTCAAGCATGTGTTTAGTTTTCAAAATAATATTAAAGAATCTAGTAAGCCAAAAAAGTCTCAAATCTCCTAAATATTTCTACACTTCAATAGAGATATCATCAAGTCCTAATTTTTCATAATTGTTTTCTTTAAAGCCTCCTCAACTTCTCTTTTACTAATGCGACGGTAAAAATAATTTTTTTCTTTTTTATTAATAATATTAAGATAACTAAGGTTGATCGTATTTTTAGAAACTTCCATAAAAAGTTTATCAAAATGGCGCACCCCCTTATGTTAAATATCCTTCTCTAAGAAAAGTACTTTTTTATTTTCATCTTTAATACATTTTACTTGAATTAAATCTTTTTTCTTTTATCTTTGTTTGGCTGGTTTATACATATACTTTTCACCCTCTTTAGTAACTATTCTATCATAAAGATCACTCAAAGCCGAATTTTTAACTTAAAAAATTGTTCTCTTAGATTCCCTACATATCACCTTATATTTTTTTTCAATTTTGTAAGCTTTTACATTGAAACAATTTTTTTAATAAAACAACTTCTATTTTATCTTTTCTTGCATATTATTATTCAACTACCAACTATTTTTATTTATAGAAATTTTGAATTTAATTTTCCAAGTACATCTTTTGTCTTTTTTTTACTTTATCCTACATAGAATTTGCTTATTCTCAAACATCCAAAATCTTGAAATTTTGAAGTTTACTTATAAAAATAATTTATTTATGTCTTTTAGAAGCTCTCATCTAATTCTATAATATTATTTTCTAGTATTTTTTTGCCTTACAACTCTTCATCTTAAAATCTAGACAAATAATCGAGAGTATCTTAAATTTTCACTTTGAATGATCTTACAATATTTATATTCTTGGCGATCTCTTTTCCTCATAAGAAAATAATCAATTTGTATTTTATTAAATCTATTCTTATAAGTAATAATATATTTATTACTTTTTTTAAATAAAGTATTGGCAATAACAAAATCATACGCCTAAGAAAAATCTAATATGATTCTACTTTATTGATTAATTAATTAAATATTTCTAAAATCTTCCACTCTCACCAACATGTCCATTTAAGTCTCCTCCAATAAAAATTATTTTTTCAAGATGTATCATTTGTATTAATTCAACTAGGTCATTCCAGTATTTTTTTTAGAGCTTATATCTTAAGGGTTAAAATTGTATCTTCTTGAAGAGCATAAACACTTATAACATTAAAAATTTTAGTATCAACAACAATCTTGAGAGCTATAATTTTATCTCCAATTCTATTTATTTTTACACCATTATCTTTCAAACTCTTATCTATAATTACACAAATACTATTTTAGGTGTGATTCCTACCTGAATACCAAACTTTAAACCCTAAGCTATCAATCTCCTTAGCCTTTTCTCCAACCCATTTTGTTTCTTGAATACATAAGATATTTATCTTGTAAGATAACAACCTTGCAAGAGTTTGCAACAAAAAATAAGGATATATTCTTTTTGAATTCAATTAAAATCAACCTTTTTGCATTCTTGGTACTGAACTACCCCACATTGTTAATAGTGACAAATGCGTTTAATATCATATGGATCGATTTTAAGAAGCTGCTATTGCCTTGTTAAGAATGCCATCCGCATCATTTAGCGTCTCTCCGGATGACACTTTACCCAGTTAAAGCATCCAAACACGCTCTCCAACATTCCAAACGACCAAATAATATCATCCCTGCACCTACAGACATTATGGAAAACAACATTTCACCTGCACAATTGCACCAAGATCCTTCCTGAACCAGTAAATTCAGTATCAATGACTCAAAACATTCAGAAAGAAAAGATCCACCAAATTAAGAAAAAAAAGCAACTAACTTTGCATGGAAGCACATCATAAAACAGATCAGATCAGAGAACACAAATCAGAAAGATAGATCTTATTTAATAACCAAATCTAACCTTGGCGGCAAGAGGCACGAATCGCGGATCCCTGTCGCGGCTATAGATCAAGAGAAGAAGCATTAGTAGCCCTAAAAAGCAAGGCACAAAGAGCAACCGATATTCCAGGAGCAATCTCCTCCTAGCTGGTCTGCGCAAGTCGAAGGCCCTCCGCCTCATCTCAGACCGAGGCGATCGCCTCCGTTATGTCGCATCTCTTGAACGAGAGAGTCTGCGACTATTCCGTGAGAGTTAAGGGCATGTAGGGAGAGGGAAAGGGAGGAAATGCAAACAGCTGGGATTCGGAGATCAAGAGTTTGAATCCGCTCTTCTATCTTCTTCTTCTGCTTCTTGCCCGAACTTATTAGGAACTTTTTCCCACCCTCTAGCGCTAATTGCAGTCGGAAAGCTGGGACACGGTTTGACCTTATTTGGCTTGTTTAAGCAGCCTCATGTTGTCTAAGGGATTATGTTCAGTTTTATTTGATATTAAGCCAAGCTTTTGGGTATGTTATAGAATTTGCTGCGAGGCACCGTGCAGGTGAAATCATCTAATTTTACCTAAAATTTCAGCGAACACACTTTGAATTTGGCTTTGGCAATTTTGAATTCTTGAGAAATGAGAGTTATTTTTGGATAAGAACACTCACATTTTAGAAGTGAAATAATTATTTAAAATCCATCTTGATGTGCAAAAATATGTTTAAACTAGGTTCATTGTACAACAAAACATTCTTGATCGAATCTTTCGTGGATCCGGTGGTTCGATAAAAGGCACTGTTAAAAGATGAATTTCAAGTAATGCATGGATATCGAGAGCATGATAATTGAATGACAATAGTCGTCTGATCAGAGGCTGATCGAGTGGGCAACCGATTAGAGACCGATCTAGCAAGCGATCTGTCAGAGGTCAATCGATTAAAGGCTAACCTAACTGAGAACAGCCGACTCTGAGGTCAACCGATGTCGGCTGACAAGAAGATGGCATGTCATAAACCAATCAAAGAGGTTCAGAGTTTGTAAGTGTTATTTCATAATATTTATAGCCACCTATAAATAAAGGGAGCATTAAATGTAAAAGAGTAACTTTTTTAATTGAAACCATGGACGTATATGACTCTCTGAAGCCCTCTCTCTCTCTCTCTCTCTCTCTCTCCCTCCCTTCTCTCCTTTTTATGCTTTATTTCTTGGATGAGATTCAAGAACAAATTTTGGTTTAATAGCTTGAAAAGGCGTGGTGAGTGTGGATCATGTCATAAACAAGAAGCAAAGTGACTTAAGGAGAAGAGCCCCAAGATCAAGTGATTGCAAACGACATCGATTGCAGCTGAGAGTATCTGGCTCGGTAAATCAATGACCTCAAAAAACAGATAATGAAGATTATCAAGGCTCACTAGCTTAGAGAGTATGTAACCACCTTGATAGATACCGTCTCAATACCCACAAGAAGCGCTTGTACCAAATGATACAAGAATCCCTCCAGCCTTATTGGGGGAGAACAACAGTTGCTACCCCGATAGTGCAGCTTCCACACTACGCAACCACCACGAATATGTGTGTATCAAAGTGCCACGGCATGCGCAGTGAGAGGATGCTTTCTCCAGGAAAATTTATGAAACTGAGCCCCTTAAGCATTTCAAGGTTCTAGATTTAAAATCTTGTCGAGGGAAATCAAGCCTGATTGACTATATTGTCATCTTTGTGTTAGTCGTGTGCTTGCACACGATAATTGATGCATTGGAATGTCATTTTTTCTTCATGACCCTAAGAGAGTCGGCTCTCTATTGTTCAACTGCCTATCATTGGAGTTGAACATCTCATTTGTAGACTTCAAGAGTATGTTTGTCGCACAATTTACTAGCACTCAGAAGCTCCACAATAACTTTTAGGTGCCCTTACAGTTGTGTCAAGCACGGAGCAAGTCCCTACAAGCCTTTAGCACTTGCTTCTAGAAGGAGGTTCATTTTCATATGTGTTGAGCTTATAGTGCCCTAAATTATTGGTCGAGCTATTAGAGCTTTCCAATAATCACATATCAATAGAAGAATATAACTCTCCATTTTTTTTCCAAAATAAAGTAACCTAACTGGCACCCTCCAAAATGAAGTGCCAGTATAGAAGGTCGGAGACCATGGCATAACCCTCAGTTTCAGACTAGCACTCATTTCAAAGACCCGTGCCCATCTTCAGATAATCAGATAATGCATAAGAGAATTCACTCTCGGAAAGATCGAGTCTAATATTATGAAGTCCCTCAGTTGACTCCTTTAAGAGTTTGAATGCTGAAAGTGATAGTAGCTATCCATAATAAGGAGTACTTCAAGTGGGTGCCACTAATGAAAGTTATAGGCTATCTCTGAGATCCCAATAGATATCATGCATGCCATCAAGATCATGAACACAGGACGAAGGAATGCTGACACCTCTGAAATCTGATTAAAGTGTTAATTAAGCTTGTGAAGCTCACTGAGTTTGCATTGCTTGGAGCAATTAACCAGGGACAAAGGAAAGCCCTAACGAAGGACGCTTTCAGTGAGCATGCTTAAGCTCAAGCCAACCACATCCTGAGTGTCATGCCTGACATCATTAAGGGAGACAGAAGTGAAACTGTCCTTTGAGATTGAAGAGGCTATGCTCTGAAGAATTATGCATGATAACCTTAATTCCACAACACATCACATAACACCTGTCAATCTGCTTCATAAGCAAACACTTGCTCACCAAGGGCAATCCTTTCAAAGATGTTATCATCATCATCGTTGACTACCAAGTCAGTAGTATATTCATTGAATCAATGAGCTTAATGAACATTTTTTCATGTTTTTTTTATAGATAGAGCATAGGAGCAACCCATCTTTTAGATACACACAAGTGAAAAAAAGGAAACACTAGGAAACCTTACTTTACCTATCACCTAGGAAGAAGATGAAAAGTAATTTATATCCGTGATAGATTTTATCATTGTCGACTCACCAACAACTTACGATGCCATCTTCAGTCACCCTCTAATTAACTTCTTCCAAGCCATAGAGTCTACTTATCACACGACGGTACCTAAGGCGATAAGATTTTTTGAAGGTTGAATACATTTTATCACTTAGTAGTACCTATGATGATAAGCTTTTCTAATCGTTGAATAATTCTCTATACCTAAGCTTTCCAAAGTTTGAATACTTCTCTATACTTAGGATAACCATCTCTGAGACACACTCATACCTTAATTTAGATCCATACATCCACTTTCTGTAAATAGTGATGCTTGAAGATTAAGGATGTTCAGTACCTCATGTTAAATGATATGCTTGTCCAAAAGGTTGAATACTTCTTTATACCTAAGATGTGTACTAAAAATCGATGTTGAAGGGGTCCTTAGAGAGAAGCATTCAAATGAGTGTGAAAGCTAGTCTTGAGAAAAATATTTTCCCATCAAATACAACAATAATGATACTTATGGCCAACCCTTAGGAAGGATGTCGAAGAATTCTTGAAAAAATGGGAACAACGTCAGAAATTTGTACTGATGCAGCACAAGCCATCTCACAAACCACAACCTTTTATCACTACATGGACGTTCACCGTCTGGAGACTTTACATCCTATCACCACCGGAATGTCGTCGCCGCCGCCAATTCTTCTTGATTCATCGTCGTGTCGTTGATTTGTCAATATCATTATTAGGAAGGATTCGCCACTTTGTTTATCTATTGTATTGGCCTATTCTCCAAATAACTTATTCTCTCATATCACACAGATGACCTTGAGATATTTAAGAAACTTGGAGAAGAAGGAAAATGACAAATAAAAATAGAAAGCAAAAGAAAATATGGTAAGGATTTCCTTATGGTTGAGATTTCGGAGGTGTCTGATTTCCACAATTCTATATAATAAAAAAATGTACATAAAAAGATCATAAAATGTACACTAAAAATAGGTAATTTTAAGGTGGATCAAAGGACTGGGCAAAGTAAGACTTGGGTCGGGTATCTTATTTTTAAGGGGGTGACTGAAGCATATATATTTTTGAGTTATGGTTATTCATTCTAATTAAGTTATATCATATTTTCAATTAATCAAGTGATATGTAATTTTAATTAATCACTAAGAATCATCATGACCATACACAAACTTATAAAATGAACATCTAACATAATAAAGAAGGTATGATTAAAACTCATTTCCTTTATGAAAAATTTTATATTACAAAACTTTTATACTTTTTTTTTAAATAAGAAAAGCAAAATAAAAAGCAAGAGCCACAAGCCATACATTTGATTACCACCCATCGTTTCTTTCACACTTATTATTTTGGTCATCTTCATTTCCTTCGACTTGGAGTTAGTCACCAACTCTATGAACTTCTCCATACTCAACCAGTTAGAGAAAAGCATATGCTACTTTACCAAGTGGGCTAGTTAGTACAAGATAACACTAATTAATTTTTCTAGAGGATTTCACTTTGAGTAGCAATAGACAAAACCTAGGCTACAAAATTCTTAGCCATCTTCATTGTAGTCATCTATTCTTTCAACAACCATTTTTTTCATCCAAGTTTTTATAGAGTGATGACCACCAGGCGTGGATCATCTCTAGCCCTATCTCAATATCTTGTGCAGACCTCTCAAACTTATTTAGAGCTTGATTTTAGTGATGTAAGAAGTTTGATAAGGTGTGAGAGGCTTACTACCGAGGGCATGTAGGTAGTCATTCTAATGCAATAACTCGTTTGGGCCCAACTACGATAAAGCTTCAGCCATTCTCGGAGAAGTAATGATGGTGCCCAAGGTAGAGGCATATTGATTATTAACTAATTTGATAGATTTCCAATCCTTGTTGAGGTTAACTAGTATATTGGGCTCCAACTCACCCTCACTTTTGCCTATTGCATATGTAAGGCAATCCACTTTAGTTAGGAAATTTTGGGGAAGCCCACACACTTGTGATTTTGAGTGGGCTCTTCTTATATAAGAGCTTTCCAATTATGCTAGTTCTCTCACTCCAAGTGGGACAATTCTGATGAATCCATTGTGGCATCTGACTCTTCATTGAGTCCACCATCAGCTCTATTACATGTTTTTTTAACAATTTTCTCTTATCCATGAGCAAAGCCTAATTGGTAAAGCTTCTCATTTCAAAGAAATGGGCCTCTACTCATAAGGAAAAACACAAAATTTCATCATTTTCAGTGGACTATTTGACACCCATTCTCTATGCGGATTTAGGTAACCTTAGTCAAAATTCTTATCATTGGTTGTCGTCATCTTAAGAATCTATAATAGGATGAGGTGTATACATCATTTTTTCCAGCATGTAAGTCTCTCAATGAGGATTTTTTTTATTCTCTCTCTTCTATATGATGATATTAGAATGTGAAATCAAAAAATTAATATCCTTATCTGCTAAATCTATGGTTGGCTTCTCTTTCTTAACAGCTAGAACCATGACGTGCTTAGCGTAGAG